CTCGGCGTTCCAAAAGCCGGCTCGCGCACGCGTCGCGCTCAAAGTACGGGACGGCGGGGGCCGCGTTGCGACTTCCACAAGGGGCGCCGCGAGCTTTCAGGGCAGGCGATGCACGGCAGTGGTTAGGGAGAGCCAGGCCAAGTCATGCTTCAGAAGCTCAAGCCCAGGAAGGGTGACGAGTGGGTGACCCCGCTTTTGCCTCTCCCTTCAGGACCTGGTGAAAAGCCACTTGATGTATGCGGTTCGGGAGGAGGTGGAGGTCCTCAAAGAGCAAATCAAGGAACTCGTAGAGAAGAACTCGCAGCTGGAGCAGGAGAACAATCTGCTGAAGACGCTGGCCAGTCCCGAGCAGCTCGCCCAGTTCCAGGCCCAGCGGCAGACCGGCTCCCCGCCTGCCGCCGCCACGCAGCCGCAGGAGACCACGCAGCCCCCCGCCCAGCCGGCGCCGCAGGGCTCCGGACCCACCGCGTAGCCGCCGGGCCCGCAGAAGCGGCTGCCGTGCGTGAACTGAACGGACGGAGAGATGCAGAGATGCGCCAGGCAGAGCCCGCCTCCACGGTCGCCCATTTCACTGCTCGCCGCGAAAGAGACGTGAACCCGACGTATGCCGTTCTCTCTTTCTTCCAGTGTTAAACACTCACATGCTTTTGGCTTGAAGACGTGCCGTAGTTGGGTGAATTAAAGGTTGCTCAGAGAATTAGCGTGGATGTCCTGGGACTTCTGCAGCTCGGCGGGTGTCTGAGAAATGGTCTCACTCTTGCGGAGGAGCTGTGTGCCTTCCACCCCCTCCCGCCCCCGCCCCCGCCCCGCCCCCAGAGCTCGTGGTCCTGCTCGCCTGGTGTCCTCCGTGGGGTTGGTTCCGTGGGGGTGTGAAGCCGAGCTCCTCACCGGATTTCCTCCTCCTCCCCTAGAGGAACTGGAAGGGGGGTGAAAGCAAAGACTAGAATGAGGGGACAGAATTCATTCTACACGTTGACGACTGTCACCAAAACTCATACAATAGTATCGTGCCTCTTTCTGAAACAGTGGGTGACACAAAACGGTGACAGGTAGCTGGGACCTAGGCTATCTTACATGAAGGTTGTTTTGCTTATTGTATATTTATGTATGTAGTTGTAACTATTTTGTACAGTAGAGGGCTAACTACTATTTAGGTTGTACAGATTGACATGTAGCTGTTTCCTTGGCTGTCCGAAGCGGTGTGGACTGTCTTTTATATGTAGAGCTACGTAAGAAACTGCTACATGACAAAAACCACACCTAAGGAAACTTTAAGAAGGGGCAGTTACTCACTTGGTGTAATCTGAAATCTTCTAGCTGCTGAATATTCTGAAGTAAATCCCTGTTCGCCGAAGTCTTTCTCTTGAGCTGGTTGAACACAAGCGCTCAGTTCTGGCTAATGACATGGATTTCCTGTAGGGGTTTCTGCATAGTCCCTGTATAGTAGTTATATGCATATGTTTCTGTGCATGTTCCCTACACAGCTTTAAGGTGTCACTGTATTTAACTGTTGTACTTGTCAACTTTCAATAAAGTATATAAAATGTTGATAAACAAGTATTTTCATATTGCAGTGTTAACAGTTTCCATGGCTATTCCCAGGTGAAGCTAGCGGTTTGACTAGTACAATACTAGAGGGGAGTGGAAGGGGTGGACGAGGCAGGGGCGCCCGTGGTTTGAGCCCAGGAGGAAGAGAAAATGACCATTGCATCGCTTAGCTAGCAGGAAGGGAAGGCGGAGGAGCCTATCTCAGTTCTTCGGACTGCCGTGTGACTTAGACAAGTCACCTCACTTCTCTGGGCTAAGGTGGGGGATTGAAAGAGGTAATCTCTTAAGTGCCCTCAGGGCGTTAAGATTCTAGGAGTTCATGAAAATCATAATCTTCCATTGTTTACTGAACTGAGAGGGGGTGAGCCTTATTCTGTGTATTAGCCCAACAAGCAGCTCTAGGATCAAAAGATGGAGGTCGGGGAAGCTGATTTCCACCTTAAGAACCCTATCACCCTGGGTTGGCGTGGTGATCCTAGCTTGGGATGCGTTTCTTCTAGCTTCTGGGATAGTCATTTGTCTTGTCCGAACAAAAGACTGGATTTGAGGTGGGACAGGTGAGCCAGGGTGTCCTCCCAGTTGGTTCCATACAACTATAAAATAGGTCAATATTACAAACCCGATAGAATCCTAGGGCAAATTGGCACCTGAGGAATGAGCCTGGGGGGTCCTCCTCTGCTGTAGGAGCAAGGTGTGTGAGCAAGTGAACAGGATTTATCAACTGCAGTCTGCCACAGGACATCAGCAACAGCCTCTGACCTCAGCACCATCCCCACCTAGGGGGGAGGCAGGTCGTTCCCAAGCTCTGAGACTTCTCTTAAGCCCTTGCAGGACAAGGGTGTAACTTTCTGTTCGGAAAGGTAGAGCTGGTGGGAGATTGGTAGGTGGATGTGACACCAGACCTCCCTGGATGGTGTGCGTGCACTGTAAATGGTAGCACAGGCTTCTCGTGGACGCCCTGGACTGCTGACCACCAGGGGCTGACAGTTGCCAGAAAGATATTTTGGGGAATTTGGAGAGGACTTGGTTAAGATCTTAGTCATATTAGTTTGAAGGTTATATAGCTTCAACTTAAATAAAGAGATACTTATAGTAATTACAATTCCTTGGAAAAGAAAACTATAGTGATTAGAAATCCCTAGCCATTTCACTTTTTATGTTTTTAATGAAGATCCTTAAAATACCGTTAGGTGGTAATTGTGAAAGATCGGAAAAATGTCAGTGTATTGTTAAAATAACAGCTTTTTTCTCTGTTATTTAATGGAACTTCGGGTCTTTTTATTAAAAATGTGAAGCTTCATGAAAATTTGGTAGCTGAATATCGTATGTGAAATGAGTGAATTATTAAGATCAAAAGATTTTTCTCCCATACGTGTCCCTCATTTTAGTAATTATGAAACAAATTCGAAGAGATTGACTTATATTTACGCATATTTAAAGGTAATCTTAAGGTGTTTTGCTACTTGGCTTGCAGACCCAAGTGGGCCTGTGGGTTATTATATAGTTGATTATATTGCATGTATGTTTTGCGGAGAAGGAGTGATTTCTAAGGGAATGGAATGTTGTCCCAGCACTGGGTGTTCATGACATCACCAACTGCAGCAGCAACAGCAACCCTGTTCAGGGAAGGAGAAACAGAAGGAATTTTACATGATTTTAATGAACGTCTGCTTTCTGGTTCTAATTAACAGTGTTCATAATTCAGTAATTCTGTCCTTTTCCTGCATATTTTAAAAGCAAAAATTTATTTTTCATTATGGGATGAATATGCAATGCCAGAATCTGTTTTAAATTTACATAAGAAACGTATAAAAGTGAATTATAACTGAAATTAGAAATGAAACTTAATTTCAGAACAGACACGACTCTGCCCTGGCTTTGTGTAAAATAAGTAGTTGGCGCTGCCAGGGCCTGACAGCATGAATGGTTTAGACGGCCGCTTCCAATCCACTCAGACAGCAAGAATGGCATTAAGATTAGAAACAGAGGCAGAGAAATAAAGCTTCCTCCCCCTCCTGGGTAAAATGGCCTGGAAATAGAAGTATGGGCCCACCAATTGAACTTGCAAGCTGACTGTGCAGTGAGAGTCCTGTGCTGAAGTGTGAGGGGACACCAGCCATGAGGAGCCCGGACTAGCCGCTGGGCCTGTCCCCAGCTGTTTGACTTTTGGGCCAGGAGTGGAACCCCCAGACCTGCCTGCACATCTGTAAATCAAGAATTGGATCAGGTCATGAAGACTCCATCCTACCACGGATGCTACATTCCTCTATTTTTTATTATGACTTACTTTATCCCTCTAATTTTTAGGGGAAGGTGTGTGTGTGTGTGTGTGTGTGTGTGTGTGTGTGTGTGTTTGTTCATACAACTTAATGACCAAAAATTAATTTGGCTTTAATCCTAGCTCCTCTGTCAGTTCTAGCTAAGTGACCTTGGGCATGTTGCTTCGTGGCCTCTGTTTCTCACGCTTAAGAGGAGAGACATGCTGTCTCCATGTTTTGTAAGGCTAATGCTAGAAGGCAGTGCAGAGATGGGTTAAAGTGACAGGTTCCACGAGTGTTCGCGTTTATTGTTATCTTGAGTCATTCAGCTTTCGTTTATTTAATTTTGTATTTTTGTAGGGATAAGGTTGTGGCAGCTTTATTTTCTAATAGCTTCTGATTTGGCATTTGGTAACAGTAGTGACTGTTTAACCTTTACTATAAAAACACACATTTTTAAAACGTCCTTTAGAATACAGACAGAAAGGCATCATTCTGTGTCTAAAATAATACCAAAGGCAGCTGTTTCATCTCTGAATTAGAGAGTAGATTAGTTGGGACTTAGCTATGTTTCAGTGTCCAGTATTTTCGATATTATGAAGATAATATTGGTGGAAATAAGTGATTAGAGAGGGTATATATATCTTAAATTATTAATGTATTTATGGAAAGAAGTGCTATGCGTAACTGCGCTGTGGCACGCCAGGTGGGCCTGAAGTCACTGGGACTAGTGGCCGGGCTCTGGCAACAGATCCTGGAGGCTTCAGTAGCCATTTAAACATGTGCAGAATGACTACGTCATTACAACATAGTCAGTGTTTTAAACCAGGTGCTTGAGATGCCCATGTCTGTGGGATACAACAGAGAAGCTTCTTCAGTGGGGAGGGGCGGGCAATAGAAAGTGGGAGTGACGGTGGCTAAAGGGGACGGCTGCAGCTTCACTCTGTCCCTTCGCCACCTGGGAATTCAAGCACCTTGCTGCCTGATCTTCCAGTTTCCTCCAAGATCCGGAAATCCAGGGTTCTCTCTGGAAATGCTTGAATTTTGGACACTGTGCACACCAAGCAAAAGCACACCTGCCAAGCGGACTTGGTCCACGGGCCCCACGAGTTCCCCCCTGCTTTCTGTCTTCCAGTGCTTTCTGTCTTCCACCTGTCTCAAGGACCAGACTCCTGCCCTCGCTGGCAGCTCACCTTTCAGCTCAAAGTAGAACAAATCAGGAAAACCTTTTAGATTCAAGAAAGGGGGCACAGGCTATCTGGTAAACCATGTGTTAATGGACTCAGAGAATATGCATTGTGTACCTTTCTAGTGCCAGAGATAGTACGGTGAACCGGTCATGGTCCCTGTCCTCAAGGACAGCTCACATAGCTGCCTTTAAGATAAATGAAGTAGTTTGTTTTCTGGCAAAATTTGCCTTAGGTGAAATAATATCGGAATTAATTCCTTTGCTGTTCCTTCTCAGATGAACCCTTTGGCAAAAATATTTCTGAGCGTCCTTTTAAGAACTCTTGTTTTAAATGGGTAGCATTTTTTTTTCATGCTTTATAATCCCAACCACCTCATTTTATAGCTGACTCATTTAGGAACAAAGACGGCGTTTGCCGATGTGATGTGAGTGCTACAAGGTTATATAACACACGCCCCCAACTTCTAGAGACAAGATACATTTCAATCAATTTACCCTGTTGTCCAGAAGAACATTCAGGTCATGCCCTAATAAGTGGTTTGTAAAACAGAAACCTTAGTGTCTCTACTTAAAAAGCGAGAATGTGGGGGAGGCTTTTAGGTTGACCAGCTACCAGTTTGCCCAGGACTGAAGGTATTCTCAGGAAGTGGGACTTCAGTGCTAAAGTCAGTAAAGTTCCAGACAAACTGGCCGCCTGAGATCTCATTTTCTGTTCTACTTGGACACAGATCTAAATTTTTTTTTTTTTTTTTTGAGTTGGAGTCTCACTCTGTCGCCCAGACTGGAGTGCAGTGGCCGCTCCCGGCCACCGCAGCCTCCACCTGCTGGGCTCCGGCGATCCTTCCGCCTCAGCCTTCCAAGTAGCCGGAATTACAGGCACGCGCCACCACGCCCGGCTGATTTTTTGATTTATTGTAGAGATGAGGTCTCGCTGCCCAGGCGGGTCTCAAACCCACAGGCTGAGGCAATCCACTCACCTCAGCCTCCCAAAGGCGCGGGATTACAGGCTGAGCCACCGAGCCCGGCTCACAGATCTAAATTATATCTCCCACCCACCTTGGAGTTCGGCATGACCGTGGGTTTAGTCAGTGGGTGAATCATGAAGCAACTGACTTGGCTTCACTTGACTTCACTTCCAGACTTGGCCCATAAGGAAACCATTTTGAGTGATCTGCTGTGTTCTTTCACTGATGGGATGGGGAAGACCTGGCCACCTTGGGAGTGGCAGAGCCTTTATCAGCCTGGGTCCCTGACTGACTGAAGTACAGCGCCCTCCCTGTCAAACCTGGGGCCGGGCAGCACAGTTCCGCAAGCCCTGGTGTTTCTCCACCATTAAGCATTTTAGATGTTACTGCTTCAGGGCTAACCTCAGCCCTGAATGGGTACCTGAAGTGGGCGCTGCGGTCAAAAACCCTCCAACATATGGCACCGACTATGGGTGGCTGGTGGATGGTGATGAAACTTGGAGACTAGAGAGAGTGAGGTCCATATTGTGAAGTGGCTGTTGTGTAAGACTGTTGCCAGCCGTAAATTAGAAGGTCGGTCGCGTGCCTGGTGAGCAT